AAAAAAAATTAATAAAAATAAAAATAATACAGACACATATACCCTTACCCAGATTCTATTAATATTTTGCCCATTGCTTATCCTTTGTGCAGTCTCTGTATCCATAAATGCACATACTCCCACATATTTGAAATAGGATATATTGTAAAAGTGACTTTTACAAAGCCAGAAAGATCCTTTTGTTGCCTTAATTGGTAGAATACCTCCCTGCAGCACCATGAGAAAATGAGTATTCCTGGTTCAGGGCCTTGAAAAAAAGATATCCATTATTCAGCTAAACTAAAAATTAGGAAACTATTTTATAATCTTTATTCCTCAAAGACATTAAGCAAAATAGGACGAATTATTTTGTTCGCTGGTTATGTGGGCTGTGTCTCTAGCTTGGGGTCTGGTGGGCAGGTGATGTGTCTCTAATCTAGAAGTGATGGGAGAGAGGCATTGGGTGGAGAAACATCGCAGGGGCCTCTGCCACAACCCTCCTCCTGCTCTGTGGCTTCTCAGAGATGTAGGTTGATCGTTGGAACCAAAATTGTTCCATACGGGCTCCTTGAGGAGTCTTCCATTCAGTCGCTTTTCATTGTACTAAGCTGAGCACCTGCTCCATGCCAGGTGAATTTCTCCACGCAGAGAACTGGAGTCCACCAGGAACTCTGCCTGAAGGAAATGCCATTTCCTCCTCTCTGTCCCTTCTGCCTGCCTCCTGGGAAAAGTAAGACCCCAGGATTAGAGAAGGCAGCATCAAAGAAGAAAACAGGCTGAGCCTTGGAGGGAAGAGGGAAGGAAGGAGCTGTGGTAAAAAGGAAGGAAGGAAGGGAGGGAGGGAGGAAGGAAAGAGAAAGGAGGGAGAAGAGGAAAGAAGGAAGGGAGAGAGGGAGGAAGGGAGGAGCAAGCTGTGGTAAAAAGCTGACTGGGGCCTTTGGGGGATCCTGGGGAAACCAAGAGACTTAGCCTGGCAGTCAGTTTTGAGGTCCCCTGGACTGCACAGCTGAACAGAACAGAATCAGAGCATCCTGGGTTTAGTAAAGGAGGGAGGCCAGGCAAAGAATTTAAATTGTGAACATTTTTAGTGGGTGCGTGCCAGAAGGAGAGAGAAGCAGCTCTCCAAGAGGAGGCAGGTGGGAAGTGGTGGTGATAAGGTGAGGACCTGGGCCAGAGTGACAAATTGAGAATGGAAAGGGGGCTTATTTAATAACAGGTAGCCCTGGTGACCTCAGACACAGAGCGGGATGGGGGAGAGGAGGAATCTCAGCCAGCTAAAATTTTGAGACTGGTTCAGATACCTGGGATGAACCTGAGGGTTTAGTAACCAGACGATATTTGGGAGTGGCGCTAGGAGAGGAATCTGAAAAGATGGCTTTAGAGTAGAACTGTTTGCCAAGGAAAAGAAAAAGGGGAGAAAAGAAATGAAGTGCAAGGAGAAATGTGAGGATACAGAAAAGGGTGCTCGGAGCTAAAAACTGTGCAGTGGCCATTAGTTTGCTGGCAGAGAAATTCAAGGGGCAGTAGGAGGTTCTACTCCGTTCACCCTTGCAAAATACTGACTTCTGGGCAGGGTGGGGCCTAGTAAACTTGGAAGCCCCCTAGTCTGAGGGGCTTTTTGTTTTGTTTGTTTGTTTGTTTGTTTGAGACAGAGTCCTGCTGTGTCGCCCAGGCTGGAGTGCAGTGGCGCAACCTCAGCTCACTGCAAGCTCCGCCTCTGGGGTTCACCCCGTTCTCCTGCCTCAGCTTCCCGAGTAGCTGGGACTACAGGCGCCTGCCACCACGCCTGGCTAACTTTTTGTATTTTTAGTAGAGACGGGGTTTCACCGTGTTAGCCAGGATGGTCTCGACCTCCTGACCCTGTGATCCACCCGCCTCAGCCTCCCAAAGTGCTGGGATTACAGGTGTGAGCCACCACACCCATGAGCCACCGCGCCTGGCCTGATGGGCTCTTTGAACATGTAAATCGCTCACTGGATACCAAGTGGGAAACCCCATGGCATATCTTCCAATGTAATCACTAAAGCCCTAAAAACAGTCCCTGGAGCATAAATGATAGCTATTATTACTACTTTACCCAGCTGGGAAGCACAGGTGTCTGGGAGGAATGAGGACTGCTTGCTTCTGTAAAAAGTGAGTCAAAGGTGCAGACCTGGTGAGGTGTGTTGGAGGCCAGTACTAGCCGTTCATCATTGTGAAGGCTGTGAAGAATTTGGGACCATAGGCTGAAATGTCAGGCTGTACAATTCTAGACTCTCATTTCTGCCTGCTATTTATTTTGACCTCTCCTTTTGTTTCCCAAAGTTGTTATCAGTGAAACCCTTAAATGAACCAAGGCTTATCTTGGGGGCAGCAGCAGGGAGATAGCGGCACCTTGGTCCCACCCTGTAGCTGGTTGCAGGGCAGTTCCCTGGAAGGCAGTGGGTGGGGGTGGCTGCCTACAGGGAGGACATGCAGCCTGGTTGCCCTGGAGCCGGAGCTGAGGGGCATTTGAAAGGGAGGGAAAAAGAAGCAGAAAGGTGGCCAGCACGGTGGCTCACGCCTATTTTAATCCCAGCACTTTGGGAGGTGGAGGTGGGTGGATCACTTGAGATCAGGAGTTCAAGACCAGCCTGGCCAACATGGTGAAACCCCGTCTCTACTAAAACTACAAAAATTAGATGGGCGTGGTGGCTTACACCTGTAATCCCAGCTACTCAGGAGGTTGAGGCAGGAGAATCGCTTAAACCTGGGAGGTGGAGGCTGCAGTGAGCCGAGACTGTGCCACTACACTCCAGCCTGGGCAACAGAACAAGACTCTGTCTCAGTAAAAAAAGAAATGCAGAAAGACTTCTGAGGTTTGCTGACTCAGTTCCCTGTGCTGAGGTGCCAGCAAAGAGGATGAGGCCTAAGAAAGGGTAATAGGACTTGGCAGTGAGAGTGTCATTAGGGACCTTTGAGAAATAGAAATTGTTTTCTCCTGAAATATGGTGCAGAAATATACAACATTGCCTCTGAATGTATTCTAAACAGTTGTGCCTCATTCTGTGCTACAAATGTGTCCTAGAAAATTGTGGTGATATTTTTAAACATGTACAGGAGGCCACTGAGTCGTCTTTGTATACCATTTATTACTTACTACACTAAATAATATCCAGAGTATACATCAAGTGGCTTTTTGTTAGAATTGTCTCATTGGAGTGCCCTGTATTTACTTCATAGACAGTGCAGTTCTTTACAACAGGAAGTCAGACTTAGGACCAACATGGGCCATCTCAGTGAAGAGGTTTTTTTCCTATGCAGGGTCATCACCAATTAAGTAGGTAGACTTGTGGGAAATTGTGGTATCATGATTTTATTTAAAACATGGATGGAGATTATTTGGGTAAAGGAAAACGCAATCATATGTCCACACGGAGTGCTGCACAGACTTGAGGAATGAATGCAGCATGCGGCACGCCTCATCCCCTCAGGCAAGGGCCTTCGGGAAGACGGCACGTTTTCTGGTGTTGAGAATGGTGGTTATCCTAAAGAGACCCTCATTGTCTGCACACAGGTCAGGGCCCTTTGAAGTACGAGCAGACCTTGAGGAGTCCATGGAATTTGTGGATCCTGGAGTTGCTGGAGAATCAGATGAGAGCGGAGACGAGCGCGTCAGCGATGAAGAAACCGACCTGGGCACAGACTGGGAGAACCTGCCTAGTCCCCGGTTTTGTGATATCCCTTCCCAGTCCGTGGAAGTCTCCCAGAGTCAGAGCACCCAGGCATCCCCACCCATCGCGAGCAGCAGTGCAGGTGGGATGATCTCCTCTGCAGCAGCCTCGGTGACCTCCTGGTTTAAAGCTTACACTGGACACCGTTAATGAGCATGGACCAAAACATGCCAAATCTGCATCAAGAAAGTTCTTCTCCCACTACACTCTAGTAAACATTATCTGTTTAAGTTAAGATAGTGCCTGGAACAAAGGTTAAAGTGTTTCTTTTTTTTTAAGCAGGGAGACAAACATTTCTATTTGTCAAGTAGCCTGTGATGGTGACCAATATGCTTATGATACTTAATAGAACAGGGGTTGAAGGTCTTTCTGCCCAGACCAGTGTTGGTGGAAGGAGGACCTGTGCGTGTGGCCAGTTCTGCCAAGGAAGCAATTGATTTGGGTTTCCTCTGGGCCCAGGCCACCAGGCCCACAGACCTGGGTCAGTGCACTGGTCCTTGCGGTGCTGAGACTGTTCCTGACACTAAGTTTTAGGGGTTGGTTGAATCACAAGAGGTGATTCTTGATTATTAGGACATGAAAGATAAAAGCTCTTTAATAAAGAGTTTTTCTGCCGTTGATTTTTTTGTACGGAGAAGCAGCAGGCAATGTGAAATGATTTCTTTATAATTTGGTCCTTTAATTTTGTTTGGGAGGGGTGAGTTACACGTATTGCATTCATGCTGCTCTGTCGTAGTTTGTCAGACATTTCTGTTTTTCTTTGCCCCACACACCAAAGAAAATGAAAGTCTTTTTCTTTAGGACCCACATCCATAAATGGAAGAAATCCTGGCTGCAATAATGTCCTAGAGAGTTTTTAACTATTTTCTTGTATTCTGAGGGGAATTAAGCCTATTCTTACCTAGTTGATTGAAGTCCTGCCATCTACACTATGAGCATTTTGAAATTGAACTTATCCTCTCTGGGTGAAAATAAGTCATGAAGGTCATTCCCTTATGTAAGCTCAGTGCCTGCCTGGGCACGGGGGAAAAGCCACTTAGTTCAGTGGCCTCTGGTCATTTTTGTGGTGTCCAGTTTCTTTCTGTGGGATTGAGTAGGTGGCAGGTGTTTTCAGGGGAAACCATCCTGCTTGTTTCCCTGAACTCTTTGTTGCTCTGAGAACACAGCTTTGCTCAGAAATGTAGTGCAGATCCTTACGGCTTGATGCTGCTCTGCTCTGTTCTGGGGAAAGCACAATATAAAGAATTTCTCAGCTGGGCACGGTGGCTCACGCCTGTAATCCCAGCACTTTGAGAGGCCGAGGTGGGCAGATCACCTGAGGTCAGGAGTTCGAGACCAGCCTGGCCAACATGGTGAAACCCCGTTTCTACTAAAAATACAAAAAATTACCGGGCGTGGTGGCGCACGCCTGTAATCTCAGCTACTTGGGAGGCTGCGGCAGAATCGCTTGAACCGGAAGGCAGAGGTTGCAGTGAGCCGAGATGGTGCCACTGCACTCCAGCTTGGGCAACGAGAGCGAAACTCCATCTCAGAAGGATTTCCCTCACCAGGAGATCATTTTCAGGTCATGTGTCTTGTCATTCTTTTAGTGACAATCTTATAGGAAAACTATAATGAGAGAGGCATTATGTACAAATACGTAAGTAGTTTTTTATTTTTAATAACTGCAAAAAAAAAAATCCTGTGTAACAACTACCCAAAGAAATCCTATGGAAGATTCCTAACAGGCATTAGTACCATATCGTATGTGATTGGCATGATAGCACCTCAGATAAATCATTCAGAGGCTTGCCATGCCCCAGCTTCTTTTCTCATCATCACAATTATAGTTGATACTTTGCCTCCAAGTCCAAGGTGCTATATAGCTTTTACTAATGGTATATTTGGTGTTTGGTATAGTTTTGGGTAGAGTTGCAAAAGGGAGTTTATTTCTATCTGGTAGTCACAAATTCCTTGGCGCTATGAATTTTCCGTGAAAGGAAGAAGTGGGCTTTTCTTGTTGTGGGTGTTTTTGTTTGTTTGTTTGTTTTGGAGACAGTCTCGCTCAGCTGCCCAGGCTGGAGTGCAGTGGTGCCATCTCGGCTCACTACAACCACCATTTCCTGGGTTCAAGCAATTCTCCCATCTCAACCTCCCGAGTCACTGGGATTATAGGCACCCGCCATTATGCCCGGCTAATTTTTGTATTTTAGTAGAGACGGGGTTTCACCATGTTGGCCAGGCTGGTCTTGAACTCCTGACTTCAGGTGATCCGCTTGCCTCGGCCTCCCAAAGTGCTGGGATTACAGACGTGAGCCACCATGCCCGGGCCCTTGTGGGTTCTTCGACACTGCTGGGATCTCTGTTTTAAGTGCTCAGCTTCATGATTGCTGGGCTTCCATTTTCCCATCCAGTTCTGGAGTTCATAGAGAGTGAAGATGGTGGATTTGAACAGATACCAAATAAACACGATCTTGTAAGAGTTGTCTAGCTACCTAAAACCCTCAGAAGAGCTTAGTCTCACCAGTTGTAAGAGTGGGATTTGGAGCTTGGTGGTGGAGATTGACTTCAGTTGAGAGATACGCAATCGTAGTGGTTTTCTTAAGCCTCTTATGAAACCATGAATGTGAGATGAAGCTAAAGAATAGAATCCAGAGATCACAAACTCATCTAGAGTACTTCAACAAAATTTACAAATGTGGGAACTTTAGTGATAGGATATATTTTGTTGTTGTTAATATCAACTAGAGGCACTTTATGTAGGGTTAAGTGATCAAACCCTTTTGTGGTTTTGAACACCAACATACTGGCTTACACCTGCTGAAATATTTTGGGTTTCATTATTTTGCACTGGATCCACCCTGTAAATACTCTTAAGTATACATTTCAACCACTGTTTTTTCTACTCTTTTTGCTGCTCATTAAAATCTTTCATGTAGGTGCCAGAACCATATGTAAACAGCTTTTTTAAAAATTGAAGCTGGTATTTTTTTTAAACAAAAAGCCATAGAACTGGGTCATGTTTTCCATTTTAAAATGATTTATTGAAACAAGGTAATACTAATAAAAACCCACAGGCACCAAACAGGCTGCTTAAAATGGTCTGTTAAAGACATTTTTTGATAATGGAATATAACTGAGAAAAGTTTTGCACATCTGTAAGGGGGAAAAACAGTGTATCACCATTGGGTAGAGTGGATAGGACTCATGTAAGGACTCACATCATTTGGGGAAGAGCATTCAGTGGCCTGCTGTTAGAGGACTAGTGTCCGAGGATCTCACAGTATCCTACTGCAGGAATTCCCCATTGCTCTGCAACTTCTAAACCAGTTTGAGTCATACAAATGTTTTCTAAACTTTTATTGTATTACTGCAATAAATCTTTTAACTGTACTTTGCTAATGTGTATGTCTTTTTCAAACTCTTTTCATTTCCACTGCTACATTAAGGGTAGCAAGAATGAGACTGAACCCTTTACAAATTATAGAAGAAGTTTGTAGAATTTTTTTGCCAGGTAAGAAAAAACGTTAATATGTTTTTTAAAATTACGGATCATGGTGGTATTAATAATGATCTCTCCCAAGCTGAGAAGCTGGTTGCATACTTTCCCTAAAGACGTGTTTTTCTTTGGTCACCATCATTTGTTGCATGTGACCTACAATGACCTGGTTTTGTGCAACAGACCCCCGGGAGAGGAGGCCTCTAGGATGCCCACATGGAACCTGCCCAGACTTTCTTCAGGACAAGAGGAAAAGGGAAATGTTAGAGGGAACCACTCAGAGGCCTGAGTAGCTTTGGAGGATCCCTCCCCGACCCAACACCCCTTATCTTTTATAACTAATTTCTCCCAGGTGGGTAGTCGGTGGTGCCCTTCAGATTAGATGATTGGAGAGAAGGACCACCTGCAGGTGGTGGAGAGACACCAAGAGTGACTGCTGTGGAAGAGCCAGGCCAGCCGGGATACCCCCAGGAGCTATTGCCATGGTCACACTGCCCCTTTATCTGGAACAGAAGGCTGGCAGGCAACAGGAGGAAATAGGCAAGGAAACGGAAGGGTTCTCGAACAGTGTGTGTGCTTCGGTGGCACTGTCCTTCAGTCTTTCCAGGCAGCAGTTTAAAGCATGCTCCCATCTGGTGTTTAAAAGGAGATCTCTCCATCCCGAGTTACATCATGACTGATGCAGGAATCAGATTGAAACAGATTGGGAGGAATTAAGGATAACTTTGTCATTGGTAGTGGGGAGATTATTTAAAAGTTGCATCAATAAAATGTACCAGAAAACTTGAAACTGGACTCTTGGGCAAGCCATCCGCACCTCAGCCTTGAAACTCTCAATGAGGAAAACCACCACCAGCCGACCTGGTGAGAAAATACACTGGAACGAGTTCACAATCTGCTTAGATAGTTGAAGTGAATTTTTTTTAGAGCTGGGCACAGTGGTTCATGCCTGTAATCCCAGGACTTTAGGAGGCCAAAGGCAGGATTGGTTAAGCTCAGGAGTTCAAGGCCAACCTGCGCACCATAGTGGGACCCCATTTCTTTTTTTTTTTTT